CTCTGTGTCTCTGACTTTGTGTGGGTCTGCGTCCCGTGGTGCCTCAGTTGCACAGTACCCCTTTGAAGACCACAACCCTCCTCAGCTGGAGCTGATTAAGCCGTTTTGTGAAGACCTGGACCAGTGGCTCAGCGAGGACGACAATCACGTGGCGGCCATCCACTGTAAGGCCGGGAAGGGCCGCACCGGAGTCATGATATGCGCTTATCTCCTGCATCGCGGCAAATTCCTGGAGGCCCAAGAAGCACTGGACTTCTACGGCGAAGTCAGGACAAGGGACAAAAAGGTGAGGGCAGGAGTTTGCCGCGGCCCACTCGTCGGTTGGTTTGTTTGTTTGTTTTGTTTTAATGGTGAAATGGAAGCGTTCTGCTTAAAAAGCTGGTGTTTGGAAAAGATTTGGCTCTTTTCCCCTGGGTGCGTTCAGCTCCAGTTACACGTACACACATGCGGACCGGAGGATGCTCCGCGGTCTGGAAGCAGACTGTGAATGTTGCCCATATCCCGAGTTAACAAATTATTAACAAACCAAATAATATGATGTTGCAGATGTGGTGAGCCGGCGGCTCCGTGTGCCTGAGCGTTGTTGTTCTTTCGTTGCAGGGAGTAACGATCCCCAGCCAGCGCCGCTACGTCTACTACTACAGCTACCTACTGAAGAACCAGCTCGAGTACAAGCCCGTGGCGCTGCTCTTCCACAAAATGGTGTTTGAGACTCTCCCCATGTTCAGCGGGGGCACCTGCAGTGAGTCACGCTCGTGTTCGAATCCCGCTCCAAACCGGGGCGTAGGCATGCACGCCGCTCAGACGGTGGGGCGCTTTGGCTGCGCTGTAGGGCTCACCCACGCCGCTCCCCCAGGGCCAAACCCAGCCGACCCGTGGCTGACCAGAGCCGCTGCCCAATCAGACCCCTCCTGCTCGTCTCCCCTAGCAGTTCTTTAATCGTTGAAATCAAACGGGCTTCGATCCGCCGTCTTTTTAAGTCCTGACACAAGAGTGCGGAACTGCCCGACGCTTTAAATATTTTAATGTAATATTTGGTGCAAAGTGCACGGTTAAGAATGCAGGAAGATTTTCATGTGCTCTACTTGGCTCGAACTAGGAAGTAGCTGAGATCTAAAAGAGGAATTCAATATTCCGGTCATGTGTAATTGGTTCTAAGTTAGTTTCGTTGTCTCAGTTTTTATAATGTACGAATTGCTGCATGTTTCCACCGAACCTGATTGATATTTGTGGCCTCCTGTAATGAAGGCAAAGTAACACACGTCCAGCCCACGATGTGACTTTTAACAGTCGCTGAAACTGAGCGAGCCTGATTAATCTGAATGTCACCAAGTGTTTAAGAAGAAAAGATCATTCTGTGTGCCTGCGTCAAATAATGTAGTGCTTCCCTCATCGCTACACTTGCTGACGTTTAGCTGTTGGTCAAAAACAGAAACCCTGTCCGCCTCTTATGTCTGTGGCTTTCTCACCTTAACACCCGACTGCGCTCAGAGGCCCTGACTGTATCAACCTTCTTCTGTCTCGCTAACTTTTCTGATACAAGAAAAAGGACCTATTCTGAGTTTGACATCTTCATAGATTTTTTTTTTTTTTTTTTTTTTACTTCAGATTTTTATCTTACCATCTTATCAAAAGAAACAGCAGGAAGTTTTGATCATTTAGTTAAAAATTCCCCTTTACAGATCTATTAATTAAGCTCAATGACGATACAAAAGTTTTTTGTTGTTTTTTTAAAGGGAGATTTCCTCCTGTACTACTTCCCCATTTCTGAATTTCACATGCACACCTCCGCTTTGGAGCCACAAACTGTATGCTACCGTATTTTTGTTTTGTTTTATAAAGAGAGCTCTTGTGTCTGTGCCTGCTGTGATGTCCAGCCCCTGAACCCACAGCCAGGTCCTGCTTGTGATAATCTCCTTCTTTCTCTCTAAGGGGACAGTACCGTTAAAAACAGGAGCGAGCCGACCCCACAGGGCTTCAAGAAAGGGAATTGGCATTGGGGTAAATGAGCCTTTCATCCATTATTATTTCACTCGCTTGCTTTGATATGGCCCCAGAGATCCATCAGGAAGGAGCAGTGTAAGGTAGACATGTTTCCTAGCAGGATAGGAATAGCTCAGGGGCCTATGAAGTCATATCCAACACACCCCCCCCCCCCCACACACACACCCACCACCCTGACACAGGAACAGAGAGGGGGGGGGGTTAAAATTCATGACTGTCTATCAGAATAGGGTCCTGAGTCTTTGGTTTTGGGTCTCTTTGGGTGTAACCTGTTATGGTCTGTTTCCCTTCCTCCCCTTTAATTTTTACGTCATGTTTTTTAACCTGATTGGCGGGTGGAACTGGTAGTGTGCCGTCTCTTTGGCCGCCTCGTGTCATAACACTGAGATCCTGTCGTTCCCAGTGCTTTTGCTTCTCGCACCGTCTGACTTTTCCTCGTTACTAATATCTCAATACCCCCCCCCCCCCCCCCCCCCCTCCCGTCACCCCTGTGCAAACGTCATCACTTTCTGCAGATCCCCAGTTTGTGGTCTACCAGCTGAAAGTCAAGATTCACACGTCGAACCCCGCCCACACGCGGCGTGAGGACAAGCACATGTTTTTCGAGTTCCCGCAGCCGCTGCCCGTTTGTGGAGACATCAAAGTGGAGTTCTTCCATAAACAGAATAAGATGATGAAGAAGGTTAGTTTATTGCTTTTCTCTGAGTTTCTGAAACGGGTTGATGAATGTTATGTCTGCAAGGTCGGAGAACAAGAGCTAGACATCTGATGAGGGATTTCCCTCTGAACACGAGCGCCAATAAAGCCTCTCCAGGTTTTCTGCTGAAGGCCAGATTCCTTCATTTCAGGCTCCTTCAGTAACTCCTGCAGCGTAGTTCCTCCTCATTCAGGATCCTGCTGCCTTTAAAACTCCTGTGTGGATTAATCCTCCTCTAAAAATAGGCCAACCAAATGTAATATTCCTTTAGGTTTGACTGGCATTTGCTTAAAAACTGCACAGGCTCCAGGCCTTTTATTTCTTTTAATTTTTATTTATTTATTTTTCTCAGAATATACTGATGACTAAAAGAGAGGTATAATTGCATTTGGCCAGCAAGACTAAGGAAATGTAATCATGAGCCCAGAAAGTTCTTAAACTCAATTTCTGCCATTTTCTGATGACTTTCCTTTTCCCCCCCGGTCGTCACGTGCACCTACAGGACAAAATGTTTCACTTCTGGGTGAACACCTTTTTCATACCCGGACCAGAGGAAAGCGCGGAAACGATAGAGAACGGGGCGGTGAACAACGTGGAGAGCCAGCAGGAGAGGCCGGCGCCGGCCAAGGGCCAGCCGGGAGAAGTGGAGCCAGGTAAGGGCCAGCCTCCGGTCCAGCTGCAGAGCCAGCTGCCCAGCCAGCCGGCCAGGCAGCCGGCCAGACCCGAGTGCAGGGACAGCGACAGGGACTACCTGGTGCTGACGCTCACCAAGAACGACCTGGACAAGGCCAATAAAGACAAAGCAAACCGCTACTTCTCGCCAAACTTCAAGGTAAGCGGGCCGCGGCGGGGCGGTGCGTCTCTTCGGGTCCGTAGCATCCAGAAATGAATATTTTCGTGCACGTGCTGAAGGTGGCTGTCTTGATTTCCAGGTGAAGTTATATTTTACGAAAACGGTGGAGGAGCCTCCGAACTCTGAGGCCAGCACTTCGACATCCGTCACCCCGGACGTTAGCGACAATGAGCCAGACCATTACCGATACTCTGACACCACTGACTCTGATCCAGAAAACGAACCTTTTGATGAAGAGCAGCACACGCAAATCACAAAAGTGTGAACTCTTTTTAAGCAGGAAAAGAAGAAATTATACACCCGAAAAAAGGAGAAAACTTGAATATAGACTCAGAAAGATGAACCTTTGTCCCTTCCCTCCCCCAGACGGCAATAGAATATCATCATGTCAAATGCCAATTTTAGGGAAAAAAAGATAAATATCCTGACCAATATATTGTTTTTTGTTTTTTTTTTGTTTTTTTGTTTTTTCTTTGGCACGGCCACGTACCATGTGCAAGGTATTGACACTGTTGCCCCATGGGAAAAGGTGCTGTAGCTATAAAAAAAAATGTGTTTATATATATATACATACAGATATGTATATACATATATATACATGCATATATAAGAAAACTTTTTTGTGTCAAAGACAATGGAAAGAGTACCACAATCAGGAGATGGGAGTTGAAGTGTGGGAGAAGTTAGAATGAAATACTAGGACTATGCTGCTCCTTCTCCTGTCTAAACCAAGGCCAGTGCTGCAGTCACTTTGTTTCACTCCCTCTCTTCTCCCCCCGCCCCCCCCTCCTCCTCCTCCTCCTTCTCCCTCATCTTTTGCTCTCCCCTCCCTCCCTCCATCCCCTACCTTCCTTCCTATATTCCTTTACTGTGAATGCTTCTTGTGCTCTTTGCAGGCTGTCTCATGTGACTTTTGGCCTTTGTGCAGTGCAAACTGCATGCGGGCAGTGGGGTTGGGGGTGGGCGGGGTTATGAAGAGGCTGTGATGATGTCTAAAGCATTGCCATTCCTGTTCCCACTGTGTATACGTTAAATTATGCAGAAAAAGGCATCCCATGTAATTGTTAATGTTTTTTTTATCCTAAGATAATAAAAATATAATACACAAAACAAAGCAGGGCCAGAAGTGTCTTCCGTAACGCCGGCGCCACATCACGGGCGGCGCGAGCCTTTGAGGAACGCACGCGGCGTTGTCGTCGCTGAAAGTAGCAGGCAGGGCCAGATGAGGGGTCGCCCGGCGCTCTGAGTCACGCTCAGAAAATTGCATCACCGGTTTATGCAATCCTCTCTGTTGATGGAAATCACGGCGAATAAAGGCCAACGCAGCGGCGAGAGGCCTGCGCCCTGACGCCAGTTTTGGCGTGCGTGAGGCGTGTGTGTGTGTGTGTGTGTGTGTGTGTGTGCGTGTGTGTGTGCTGAGCAGAGGAGGAAAGCGTCAGTGGCCTCCGCGCTCGGTGAGAAAAATGCTGTAAAGCAGGTTGCCATTGCAGCTGTTGGTGCTCTTTTAACAGTAACTTCCTGCTTTGAAAGGTCAGAGCTGCAAATAGTAGGTGGGACCTGAGGTTGGGAAGTGACGGGAGGATTGTTAAAAGTTCAGCTAAGGGCGTAGAGCCTACTTTAAACAATAAACACTGACTCAACTGTCTATATGGGCTGATGCCCCATCTTAGAATAGGAAAATATGCCAGAGTGTAAGATATAAAAATAAAAAAACAGTGCTACCTAACAGCACCTTTCTGTTTCACGAACGTGTTTAGAATCCCAACCTCTGACCCCTGAGTTAAAAACGAGCCTTTTGGTGTTGGAGGCAGGCTGAGCCGGCTCTAGTGAGGCAGTAGCTGCTGGTTAATGAAGGCGCGCTCTTGAAGCGAGCGGAGGAAGGAAAAGGCTACCAGTCCTGGAGGGAGGAGTGCGAGACCTTGGGTTGTCGAGCCCGCTCTGCTCAGAAGCTTCTGTGACTCCCCAAATGAAAGAGTAACAGGATTAACAACCGTGTCGCTGTGATAGAGGAGCAGAGAGTGGCAAGACCCCGGCAAAAGCATGGCCCAAAGTCTGATAATAAAATAAAGTATGAATTAAACATATATATTTTTTTTAAAATGTTCCACCCCCAGAGGCTGGCAGTCACATAATCCCCTTCTGCTCTATTAAGACTCAGTCCCCGGCTCTTTCGTGTTGATAGAGACATCAAAGCCAACCGGCGCAGCCTCAAATGAGACAGGCAGCAGTCGCAGGGGCCCAGCTGTAATTGGCTGAACTGAGAAGGAGGGTGAGACTGCTAGATTAATAATGAACGTGCTGTGCTGGGTTTAGAAAGGCCGGCGAGATGCCTCCGCTCTCCACAGGCAGATGAAACTGAGGAGGAGAGGCCTCCCTTCAGTCCAGTCTGCTTTGCCCCCTTTTTGGCCATACTCACACAAACTCCACTGTGGAAAAAAAAAACAACTAAATGTATATACATATAAAGCTAGCCCTCTGAAAGTGTTGTGAAATGAGAAAAATAATTTATATTTTTTTAATTTCCGTCTTTAACTCAGCATTACATACCCTGCCGAATTTCAATGTTGAAACACTGTTCAAGTCGTGGCACCAAAACTCGCAGAGCTACACGAGTGTAAAAAAGGCCTTGGTCAACGTTGAAGGCCCAACTTTTTTTTAACCTGATCGTTATTGTTGTAAATGAAGACGACCTAGAAATTAGAGCGGAACTGGGCGGAGGGAATCTCCGAGAGCCGATCGTAAATCTAGTCAGCTTCTTATTTTGTCTTGCTCACGTGAGCAGTTAACTCACCGGGCCAGAACCTGTATGGCCGCGCAACCTCGAAAACTCCCCGTCAAACGGGACGTCCCCCTTTACAATAATAGCGGCGTGACAGGGCAAATGCTTCATTCCTTTGCTGTCACTCACCCCGTTCTCATTGATCCAATGCGGTTGCAACACGTTGTTAGTGTTGTAATGCCCTGCAGATGCTATGGAAAGAAGCGATTTGGCACATTCGCAGGTCATTGTGTGTTTTAAAAAGGCCAAGTCCGGGTTCTGATTAACAGCCCCGTTGTGCCGGTTGGCTGTGACGGATGGAGCTGTGGCTGGATGTGGTTATTGATCAGGCCCGAGCCTCCGCCGCTAAGAATTTGACCAGATGTGACTAATTCGGCTCGCACGGCCTCTAAGGGCAGACGTGCCGTCAACTTGCCGCAGGAATTTGGGAATCTAGCAACTCTGGATGCTTCATTCGACCTGTAGCCTCCCAGAGAGAGGCTGTGTGTACGGAAAACAACTTTCTCTAAAGCACAGCACAGGGACAGCTTTGCCATTCCAAAGCTGTGGGCGCGTTTCGCGACCAGCCCACAGTCTGGACTGCGGCGAGCGAGTTGGTGAACCAGCTCAAATGCGCCGGTGAAGATTGGAGCCAGGGCCGCATCATCCGAGCACAGTGGTGCTGGAATACGTGACGTATCACAACACAGCTCCCGCTTTCTCTGTGAGTCACAGAAAAGGCCTTTCTGGCTGTCCACCTCGAACATTTGACAACGTGGTCTGATCCCCCTTGCACTTTCTAACCTGGACCCAGTAGGATCGTTTATAATTATAACCTATTTCTCTAATTTAGCAGGTCTGACTTTGTCTTTGGTCCTGCCATCAATTCACTGTAGAAAAAGCAGAAGAGCTGAGACAAAACGGCTGGGATTATGACCAAATGGGATGGTGGGAAGAGTGTGGGGGGTCAGTCTGGCATACAAAATAAATAAAAAAAAGATAAGCTGGATGCTGGTAACCCCATTTCCCTTCCATCTGTTGGTAGCAGTTGTAGAGCATGGCTGCACTCACCAGGACCTGGCAACCCATCCCCCAAGCCCTCTTTCTCTGGCTCACTGCACAGCTGTGTTGCGTTTGGATTAGGCCAAGAATAAAACAGGAAGTAGAAATTAAACAAAAGCTTAAACACACACACACACACACACAGACACGCACAAACACACACACACACGCACGCACGTACTCTCACACAGGCACTGTAAGTTACCAAAGACTCTGCAGCGGCGCGAGTGACAGTCTGTGGAAAAAAAGTGCACACGCCCACACATGTGGACCAGCGCTCTCACACACTACCACAGAAACAAAGTCAGACTCGGCCTCCGACAGACTAGCACGGGCCCGGGCCGGACCACAGACGTATCATTGCTCCGTGCCCACACTCGCGCTCCACACATATGGTCTTTTTACACGCTGCTGGCCTCCTCTTCATGGTGGTCTGCTGCGGCCGCCAGCGAGGGAAAACTGGCTTAATCAGTCCTTTGCCAGCAGAACGATGTTAACATGGAAGCAGTTCGCTTGTGACATAGGTTGCTCACACTTTGTTTTCTTTATAAATAGTCCTCGACGTTCAAAACCGAATCCTGTTTCGAGGACTTAAGGCGTCGAACAAGCCCCCTTTTGAGCAAGTTGTGGTGAAGCTTTCGTCCAAATCACAGTTTTTGGACAGAATTCTTCCTAACTTGCAAACCACTGTGTGAAAACAGAACTAATCCTAGGGAAAGATCTTGAGTGATCCGTTTTTAAACTGGATCTCCTCATTACTTTGTGCTGTCAGCTAGGTCCTCGCCCCTGCAAATCCTCTGCATAGTTTCCCCTCTCTGTGTGAACGCACTGAAATAGCCGGGTGTTAGCACACAGGAACTACGGTGAATGAGGAAGTGGAATTGGAAAGAAGAAGGAGGAGGAGATGTTTGGAAACACAAAATGCTGCGCGTATGCCGCAGCGTGGGGTTAATTTGGCAGGCTAGTGAAGGCAATTGATGGAAATCTATTAAAGTGCTTCTCATCATGGGCTGGAGCGACTGTTAATGAATGTACGGTAAATGTTTTCAGCTGTTATTTTTACTGTCAGGACCTGAGTCACCTAATGAGTCACACGAGCTCTGTTTTTGTATATGATGGAGGGTTTTTGTTGACATGGATATGCCAGCATGTTTTGTCAGTCGCTGTGTGTGTTTAAAGCCGAATACGAGAAGCACATGGAAACACTTACTGTAGCGCTGTCACTGCTGACCCCTCCCCTTCCTCCACACACACGCTCACGCAAATACTTTCTACTTGATCAATGGAGAGCACACACATGTCCGTCGCACTGGATAGGATCCCACACTTGCAGCCAGAGGCAGAAAACATGGAGAAGCGGGTCAGGTTTTACCATAAAGTTCAGCAGTCGTAGGCCCGGGCAGAACACAACCACACACACGTACACATACACACACACACGTCTT